AGAATAATATTGCTGAATGCTTTTTCCCTCAAGGTTTTTGAAACTTATATACAAGTTCTAACTTTATAGAAATTCTCTTGCAATATTGCAAACTTTTAAGTAGAAAACAGTTTATTTGTAACGAAAATATTTCAGTGCTTTTTTTATACTTTCTTTGCATGCTATTTCATATGTTGTAGACCTTTATTAAATGCTGACTGAACCATGGGTTTTCTACTAATGCTTCCAAACATGTAATTAAGATTTAATATACAGACAGGCCTTATTATGCTGTTCTATAAATGCTTGGCAGATTAGAAATTTGTTCATTTTGGAAGTATTAATTTGTGAACCCTCATATTTTTCATATATGACAAGGTGACTCAACTGACTACTTTGTAGTGATACCCCTGAGAAGCAATTGAGACTTAAGTTCTGTCACAAAGAATAGAAGTGTTCGTGCTATCATTCATTGCTTCTTCATGGTCTTTTACAGCTCTAGTGTACTGGCAAAAGTGCTTGAATGAAAAACATGACCTTAGTTATGCTTTTTAAAACATAAGAACTCAAATTCAAGTGGAGAGATTGGTTAAAATTACAGCTTGAAGCCTTGCTTTGCTCCATCTCCATCTTTGTTGTCATCCTTGATGATGTTTTTATCATAGCTGTAGGAAAAATTCAGAATTACATTGCTAAAGTCATTTTAAAGGCTTAAGGATTGTGCTTGATGTTGAAAATGTTTGAATTTAGCAAATGTATTATTTGATACCAAACAATTTTTTTCAAACTATGCATTTCATGATGTTTTAAATGTGTAGCTCCTTACTGCTTTATAATGCACAATTTGGGTTATGAATCTACAAGTGAAGACGTCCACAGTATCAACCTTCGAGCACATTAAAAGGAGCAGAAAAAAAAGTCAGAAATAATTACAACTTTTTGTTAAAAAAACAAAGGTATGTGACAGCAGTTTGTTGATCAACATTAATTCTTTTGTTAAATCTTTATTTTCTCTTTGTATTTTGTGTGTCTATATGTGAGTAAGCATACATACTATGACCAGTTAGTGCAGTTAAGATGGGAATCTAGAATGCTGGGACTTGAAGAAAAAAAAAAAAATCTGCAATTGAACCAGCTATCCCATGAGCTGGTTGGCAAGATAAACTGTGTATGATAATATTTATGCTTTATTGATACAGTTAAGTACATAAAGTATTTTCACATAATTGCATATACAAATTTTTTATAACTTTATATTTTTCTCCTATCAAATTAAACATTAACTATCTAGTTCGTATTTATTGTCATATTTTAGTGTCTGCACAAACATTCTTGTGAAGGGAAGGTAAACCTTTCTGAATTAAAATCGGAAAAAACAACTATGTGCTTTAGGAGTGGGTCTCAGGTATTTCCTATCTGAAGATCAGCATAATTTTCCTTTGAAGGAAAAAAAATTCCAGTGTGTTTTTTTTTAAATATTAATAGGAGTGGATGAAGCTCAGGAGGAGATGTAAGTTCCTATTTTGAAGTCTTAGTATCTTTTTCTTCACCACTACAAGTATTAACTTTTGCATAGATTCAGTTTCTACTTCTTGGCATTTTTTTGGGCTTTATGAGATAGTGTCATTTTGCTACTTTCACTGCTTTGAAGTATCTATTTATATAGCAGAAAAATATAAGAACTGTTTTTAAAAGTCTCTAAGAATGTAATCAAAACTTTTCTTCAATCAGAAAATCAGTAAGGTTGTAAAGATGCCTGTTTACGAGAGTATAACTTAGGCAACCTTTCCAAGTATAGATGAAATTACTGTTTCAGGAGCATGCTGGTAATTTTCCCATCTTTGCCCCAAGTATAGCCCAAGTGTTTCAGTAGTGTGCCAAATCTTCATGTAGTATACAGCTTTGGAATGCACCCTGCTTCTGATGTCCTATGCTAACAGAACTAATGACTGGTATAAATTTAGAGCAAGGAAAACGTGTTGTTTCCACACATGATGAATGTTGTGGATGACGAGTTGACTTCTTATACATTTATCTTTTTGTAGTCTGGTTTCTTGATGTTTTTGGGGAAATTTGTGCTGTATTCTTTCTTCTTTAGCCTGCTTTCCAAAGAAAGCAAGCCTTAGATGATGGAACAGTCTATTTGCCTTCCTTCTCTCCCCCTGCAGATAACTTTTGAATTTATTGATAAATCAACAGCTAGATAGCCCTTGTGTGTTCCAATTGAGGGGAAAATCAAATTTTCTTTTCTTTGCTCTTCTGAATGGATAGCTGCCAATCAGCATTCTTGTACAGACTTGCCTCAGGGTGAGCTGGCTGTGCCCAGCTGGCAAGCTGGATAAATGTGGGCTGGAAGATAGGCCGGGGGGTGATGTTAGACATGTGAGGGAGCTAGGATGTTGTGGTAAGAAGGCATAACAAGGATTGCGGGAAGGAACTGGAGCTGTTCAAGAGAAGCAGGGATCATAGAATCAGACTAGATTGTCTAAATTATGTTCATCTGAGTAATAAAAACATGCAAGGTGGGAGATTCTGTAGCTTTTTTTGTGCAAAGTATTCTAACACTTAATGAAGAATTCTTGCCTATGTCTGGTCAGAACCTTTACTGTTTCAGTTTATGAATTTTTCTCATCCTTACTCCAGGCATCTCAATAAAGAGACCGGATTAATCTTCCTAAATAACCTCTGCCTTAAGTTTTCTCCCAGATAAAGACCGCTCATGTTCTGCTTGTATTGTCCAAATGTTCCAGCCCTGGTGACTTGTTCCCGGACTCACATTTTTCCAATCTTTCTTGCACTGGGGTACCTGAAACTGAGCTGTGGGATGGACCAAAAGAAAAGGAGTAGTCACCTCTCTTGATGTACTGACTACTTTTGCCTCCTGTTGATACAACCAGTTGTACTGATAGTCTTCACTGTTGCCAGGATGCATTGCTGAATCATGGCTGGCTGACTGCCCACCATAAGCTTTCCATCAGCTCCGCTCCATTCGCTGTGCTGTCATCTGCAAACTTGATGAGGGTGCTTTAGATCTCCCTGTATATCCCTGAAAAAGGTATTCAAAAGGGCAAGTCCCAGGACAGACTCATGAGGGCCACCATTTATAATTGGCTTTCAGGTAGTTTTCTAGAATTGTGAAGACTTGTTCGGAGGGATTTCAGGAGTAGGAAATCTCACAGGGTTATCGTGGAGAATGGTGGGGAGGGCCTAGGACATGACTCTTTGGGAAGTGGGCATCTCAGGAAATGATCCTTTCATTATGGATGAAGTTCCAAAGAGTTGAATAGGCAAAAAGAGCTGCATAGTAGACGAGTTGACTGAGGGCAAAAGTGCTTAAAGTTAGGAAAACTTTTATCACGAGAAAAGAAAAAAAAGAAAAAAAAAATGGTGGTGGTAGCTCTTTATTATGAAAGCATTGTGTGTTCAGAGAAGTTGGGTAGCTGTAGTGAAACAGCTGAAATTCAAAGAATTATTATTGTAACAATTATTCATTCCTACTTGTAACTAGAATACCTGCCAGAATTTTCCATCTCAAACCTCTTTTCTAGATACTACTTAATTAAATTTCCCTTTCTGCTTGTATTTTATCATACAGACTAGTTTTTTTTTATTATTTTCAGATTGATAGCTTTGCTTACAGGTTTGCATAATAAAGTGGTGCATGCTCAAATAGGTGTGGATATTGCAAGCCTGACTGGCACAAATAGCTCCCACCAACATGAATAGTCCCAACGACTTCAAGGACTTAATTTGCATGAGTAACAGTTGCAGCGTTGGGATCTTAATGGGAATGTCTGCTTTCCATTATGCGTTCAGCTTTCAGCAACCTCGGTGGAGCTCCATCTCTATTACAGAGGACAAATTGGGCACCAAGACAGATGGAATTTTTTTAGCGGCAAAGCAAAAATCAGTTGAAGTCATATACATACTGCTGAAGTCCTTAAGGTATCGTGTACTGTATAAAGGCAGTGATAGCTTAAGTTGAAGAGATAACGACTTCAAAGAATCATTACAAAAAAAAAAAAAAATTAATATCAGAAATATATGACAGAATTCAGCTCTGGGAAGCGTGGGGATGATGTGCTGTAGTGATGTAATAAAATATACATTTAAATAGACAGAACGGTTGGAGGAAAAAAAAAAAAAAGAAAGAAAAAAAAGAAGCTCAGGCGGCCGGGCGCAGCCGGTTCCCGCCGCAGCTGTGCGCCTTATGCGGGCTCTCCCCACGCGCTGCTGCAGCGCCCCCTGCCGGGAGGGCGGTCCCGCCCCGCCGGTGGCGCAGTGAGCGCTGCCGGCTGCTCTTGCCGCTGAAACAGCGGGGCTGTAGGCACGCCAGAACGCTGCTCGTTACCTCGTCTTCATTTTTCGGACGTGTGATGGTTTTTTACCCTCGAGTTTGGCTGGAAAAAGATAGGAATGCGTCATAAAACAGGCTCATTTTTAAGCCTCTCAGGTTTGTATTTGTGTGGAGTTCTCTCCCACAGGTGACGACTGCTCTAATTAGTCACTCAGGAAACACTTTCCAGAATATTCTCAGTTAATTTCCTGGAATGCTTTGTGTACATATTATTATGTCACAAGTGAACATATTCAAGCATTTTTAAGGCTTACGTTTGTTTAAAGAAAAAGTAGTAGTGTGTGCTGAAGGACACAGCAGTGTGCTGTGGGCTGCAGCCTGGGATTGTGGGCGCTGCAGCAATGATCCTGAAAGCAAGGATTTGCTGCTTCTGAGAGCTTAGATTGCCTCATCTTCTACTTTCTGTCACTATACTGGGATTAAACCTGGTAAGGCCTCAGTGTCTTCTGAGGGGTAAAGAAGCAACTCTGGATTATCTCAAACTTAAAATTGTGACCACAGAGGTAATGAATGTTATCACCAAAGCTTTAGAGATTTACTATCAAGGATTTATATACTCAGGAAAATAACGTTGTGACTTCGTGTTCTTTACAGATTGGGCTTTTTTTTTTTTTTTTTTTTTGTGGAAGGTCAGCTAATTTTCTTTTCTTTTCTTCTGCTTTAGCTAAAAAATTAGGAATTACTGATGTGCCAGCTGAGGTGGTTACTTTTATTTCCCATGCAACACAAAGCAGATTAAGAACAGTGATAGAAAAAGTAACAGTGATAACCCAGCACCGCATGGAATCATACAAAGTAAGTGTACAAATCAAGCTATTGGATACATATAGCGATGCAACTTGACACGGCTTTCTTTCTTAGCACATGGTACATGTTTTGTGTTCATTTTGTGTGCAGAGCACATTTTAATCACAAATTTATCTACCTCGTTGCATAGAGAGCAGTGGGATGATGACCGTGCTTGCCAGACCTGTCTTCTCTGTCATAGAATTTGTGTGTAAAGTTGTATTCGTCTTTGTATGCTGGGCTCACCTGTTAAGCTGTTTCTGCTCACCTTTTTGTGACCAAGACTGTTGATTCACACCTTCTCTTTTGACCAGGGTAACTGCTGATTGAACCAAAATTGCTTCAATATTTAGGAATCTGCACTAGCTATACCTGTCTTTGACCGTGTGAGATACTAATACTTCTATACTTGCCATTTAAAAATTTTAGCACAAAACTTAAATTGTTTAACTTAAAGAATATAATGATTAGACAGGGATAAAAACTGTTCTGAGATTAGAGGGAAGAGCTACTAATTTGTCTTAAGCCTGCAACTAAAGAATTCAACTATTAAATTCTTCACTATAATTAAACAATATTCTCTTTTTTTTAAAAAAAAAAAGGGTTTCAAGTTATTCTGATACTGTTGTTAGTGATTGTATTCTTGGAGAAAATTGAAATAATTTAGATATCTTAAACCAGAAGGAAAATTGTAATAAAAAACTGCAAACCAGTTTGAAATTCAGGTAAGTCAAATATGTTTTGTTATTAGAAATAAGTTACTTTTTTTTAATAAAAGAAAATTGCTAGCAATTGTTAAACTAATACAAAAGTATGTAGGTGGCTGGCTTCATTGCACCAAGCTTAATACTTTTGTTGTTGTTAGTACTGTAGAAAGATTTTAATGTATACACTTGGTCTTGATGAAAATGCCTGTTTTCATAAAATATTGTTCTTTACAGGATGATGAATGGTATGAACAAGCTACAGATGTCCGATCACAATTGAAGTTTTTTGAGCAGTTGGAACGTTTAGAAAAGCAAAGGAAAGATGAACAAGAGAGGGAAATCTTGCTAAAGGCTGCCAAGGTATCTTAATTATTCTATTTTTAAAAATTATTTAGCAGTTCATGGTCTTCAAACAACCACTTAATCTCTTGAAATCTGTTTCTGGAACAGTTTTTGTTTCTTAAACTGTAGCAGAAATGCTGAGTCATAGCTTGAAGCAGTGATTGAGCACCTGGTGGGAAGGCAGGGCCAATGCAGGGGAGCTCAGTGCATGCAGTGCACCTGAGTGACCAGAAGGGGTGGAGCCAGGATGCACCCCTTCCCAGCCCTCATTTAAGAGTTGACAGTGGAGGTGAGGGCATCTCTCTGGAGATCCCTGCCTACCTGAGGCTTTCCAAAGGTAAGGAGATTTTCTTCCTTCATTTCTACGTCTATGGCTGCTGCCTTTGGGCTTCTCATCATTTGCCGCCCCATTATTGTTGCTGTACTTTCCATTGCATTAAAGCATTGCATATACCAAAGAAATATTTCTATTTTGACACCGCACCTTATATTTATGAAATCATGCTGTTTATCCACAACGACAGCACACCTAGCTGGTGGAATGCTCCTGCATTCTCAGGAAGATGTAACGCTGAATATGGTGGGTTCTGGAGATTATGGAAGGCAATGCCTTATATATCTCTAGATAAATTCCTATCCAAAACTGCCACTTTAGCTGTATTACTGATTTATCAAACTACAAATAAGTTTATTCCTTAGTTATTCTGAGTTATTCATCCATTGTTTTACATTTTCACTGAATTATTTATTGTATATTCTAAACAGTTTATATAGCACAACTCAGTGTTCAGAGATAAAATTTTGTCTGTTATTAGAAGACCTTTCCATTTGCAAACTTAAAAACAACAGCAACAAAAAAAAAGCCAACCCAACAACAGGACCTGACTTGCTAATTTCAGAAAAATATTTCCCAATTTGGCTGTTTTCATTTTTTTTTTAATCTGGATTTTCTTTGTTTTCTTTCTTAATTTTTTCTTTCTTAATTTTTTCTTAATTTGTTTTCTTTCTTAATTTAAAATCGTTCACATTTTTAGGTATTCCACAATTTTCCACAGAAGATATATATGCCCTTTAAATGTTTAGATGGAAGCAGAGACACTTTTCATTTTTAATGCTTTTTTTTGTATTTAATTTTCTACATTGAATGAATACATCTTGATGAATCACACTTTCTTTCTCTGTATCTCTTTTTGTTTGTTGCTTTTTGAAGTCTTTCTCTTCTCTCTCTCTCTTTTTTTTTTTTTTTTTTTTTTTTTTAATGGACTTTGAGAGAATACAGTTCTGTAGTCTTTAGTTTAAAAGCATTTCACTAACTGGGCAAAGTCACATGCAAGTTGATCTAAGGCTGGATTAGATGTTATCACTTCCAAACTTATGATGCCATGTTTTCTGGATTCTTTTTCTTATATCTTGAGTCAATGTTATCTTGACTTCATGGGAGTTTTAGGAAATAAATACATTAACAATAAGTTTGATTCTAATAGATTATAGAGCGAATTCAAATAATTACACCAAAAAACATTGAAGAAGTCTTTTACATGACTTGAAGAAATCATTTTCATTAACATAATGCACATGTAAATCAGCTTTATAACCAGACAGCTGGGCATAAAGACAATTTATACTAGAAAAAATACGTATGACAAAAAAGAAACAAAACCACAAAGTAACCGTGGAAGAAAAATGCTGATTTACCAGCATTAATGTTTAGAAAGAGAAATTGAAGATACTGTGAAACCTTTGAAAGGTGCTTATGCGGTGCTGGGATTTAAGTGTTAAATGCCAGCTTTGAATTGAACATAGAATGATAGCATCTGTCCTTTCTGGAGCACGTGTCTGCTCTCTGCCGTGCTGTTCCCATGGATTGACCACCTGTTTCAAAACTCACATAGAACATATTTGAACATGCTGTGCCAAACTCACAACTTCTTATTCTAAACAATACATTGTTCGTTATCTCCTCAGACTCTAGGTTGCTGCTGAAATGCAGGGTGCTCTGTACATCAACAGAGAGCTCTTGTGATCTTTATTTTGAATTCCTACATACTGAACCCTTAGCCAGGATTTTGGTCTTTCTGGTCTTTTTTCACATCCTTAGTTGTTTGAGGAGATGGAAGGCTTTGTGGAGAGGATGCAGTAATTGCAATGAAGCAGTTATTAAATGGACACAGTTAAAATCTACCTCATCTGCTCTGGTAACAAATGCTACAGACCAGAAAATGTTTCATGTCTGTTTGTGGTATGCTGATTGCTATTTGTGCCTGCAAAGAGGGTAATGATTAAACTGGTTCTGGAGACTGAAATACCTCTTATGCAAAGAGATTGTTTCACAGATCAGGGCACCTTTGTCACCTTGATAGTATGGTGTATTTAAAAGTTAGAAACCTTGGGATTTTAAGATGAAATTTCTGTTTCTGCTTATTTTTCTATAAGCACTTAAATCTAAAAATGATATATATATAAAAAAAAAAAACACAACAACCAACAATGTAGAAGCTACTGCTGCTTAATGTGCCTTTTAGACAGTGATTTTTTTTATCCTGTACCTGTTTTGGCATGCTATTTTGCAGTGTTTGTTAAAGATACTCAGCAGAATAATTTTAGAAGAAGTTTTGAAATTGCCTGCTAGTGGTACCTAGTCTGTTGTATAAGTATGAAACGGCATATACAGGTTTAACTTGCTGAGTGAAAGTTCTTTTTAAGTATTTAGTTTGTGAAGCCTCTTTAGCAACCAAGTCCACGTGTTCATGAAGAATAAGATACTGAGAAAGGAAATGTTGTCTTCTGATTGACCTGCAACTGTATTGTCAGCTACTACTGTAAGATATGAGTGTAGAATTCATGAGTACCCTGGTGGGGTGGATTTTGCTGCAGGAGGTGGCTTGGGAGGGACGAGAGATAAAGTCAGATGGAGAGACCAAAGAAAAAAGTAAGGCTTCAGAAACTTTTTAAAAGTTATTGCAATATACTGTTTATTTTTAATTAAACACCTGAAAATTTTAAACTGGACTTCTACTTTGAGGACTTTGCATCATGTCTAATAACATGTACCAACCTAGAATGTGTGGCCCAAAATATTTCTCTAATTTACCTTCTAGTGATACTTTTTCTAATTATAGTGCTTAAAGATGATATATTGGTCCCCAAAACTGTCAGATCTGCAGTTGTCATCTGGTGGAACAATTCCTGTTTCACCAGATGTGATGATTTAAATACAGAAGCTGTACAGGGAGGTGCTACAGCTGCCTCCATTATCATTACTTTTGGATTTTCTTCCTGTTACGTAAATCATAGGGTAAAGGAATAATGACACAGGGAAGGGCTATCTTGTGTGTATGTATACATACACGTATGTGGAGTGCAGTCTCTTTAAATAAACTATTTTGGAGAATCACCTCTTTCTCCTTGTTTGTTTTCCTAATAAGTAGCCACTGGCCATTATTTCCGTTGTGTGCAGAAGCAAAGGTCTTTTGAATCTGTCTTTGGTGGTTGATATGGGAAATCAGAAAAGAAGCTAAGGGAAGTCTGAAGACAGCAGAAAGGTCAAAAGCCAGACTGAAATAACTTGAGGAGCTTACCTTTACATTTGACGTGGTGTGTGGACTTTCTGAAAACACACAGCACATGTCTTGCTATAGTAAAAGATGCTTTCATAGTGATTCATCCTTGCTGCTTTCATGGCGATTTCCAAAATCTGGAAAATGTAGGTTGTGTGTCAAATGGAATGAGGTTCTGATTCGAGTGTAATAACGGGAGTATTTCTGGCAGCAGAAAGGAGTTTGTGGTCTGCTATCAGTGCTCTGTATTAATAGAACAGGCCTGTCTAGTTTTGGGTTTTAAAATATAGCTACAGCTATCATAGGAATGTGGCCTTTATTCTGTGAACGGTGTCAGTAAGCAAACTGAAGAATTGCTTGGTGGTGTTTGCACAGTTAAGCAGCATTTATGGATGATGTAGATTTTGATAGTGCAGTAGGTTGAAGGTGCTTTTTTACCTTGTGGGTGCTTTCTTATTGGAGAGAGATGGTTGAAATTTGGCTGCGCAGATTCCCTTACGCAGCGCTATCACGTGCACCTCCTGTCATTACTTGAAGGGCCCATCTCTCTGAGTGAGAGATGAGTTCAGTTGTCATGCCAATTTAATCCTTTCCTTCTCTTCTGAGACTACAGTGGATGTAATGCAGCTTTTTGTGAGATGAAGCACTTTCTGAACTGAAACTTGTAACTCAATTCCGATGAGAGGAGAGCAAAGAGTGAATTATTGCGTTGAGATAATTTTCTCAATTTTAAAAAATTTGTTACTTCAATTTTAATGATTTTAAAAATGAATCTTCTTTTAGACCTGCACTCTTGCAATCTTCCTCACTGTGGTCGTAGCTCAAAATAGGGTTTTACCCTCAGCTATGCTGCTTTTAACTCTCACTTTTTATTAACAAAGCTAATGTGAAAGCAAAGTGTTTCATGTTGCCAATTTAATTTCTTTAATTAAAAGTGAAAGTTATAAGCTGGTACAGCCGTGGGTGAAGTTCTAATGTCATCAATGGGGAAAAATAGGTTTAAAATTGAAACTGTTGGCACAGCGGTGACTCTCAATAGTACAGCACCTGCAGTTGTGATTCTTCACTTTATTTAATGAAAAAATATGAATTGGAAGAATTAAAGACTCCCAGGACATGTACTGGGAAGGGGGAGAAGAGGTGTGAGCACCTTAACTGGAATCAGACTTTGCTGATCAGGCAACAGTCAAGTATTTAGGAATGGAGACCCTGAGAGTTTTTCAGAGATTTAGCCGATGGAAAAAATCACAGTTATTCTAAAATCTAAGAGAAACCTTTTTTTGTTAGTGGGGAAAAAGATGTAACAATAGTGCAACTTTGACATTGCAAATGACAACAAAATATGGGATAATAGTCCTGGTTCAGAGCACCAGAAGGAGTGTTGTTCTGCTCACCTGCACAGATGCAGGTGTCCTTCAGCTTTAAAAATAATTGTTGCCTTATTACATCAAAGTCGGATAGATATTCCTTTAAAAATACTTTTGATTTCTAATGTAAGACAATTGTAAGAAATATGAAGTCCGCTTCTTAAAACTGCACTGTTATGTGTGTAATTAGGTGTCTGTTTCTGTGGCATTATTCATGAGCACAAGCAAGGAGAAAAGCTGAGGTTTGGAACATTAGTTTGGTAACATGTAAATGTAAACATGTAACCCCATGTTTCTAATATGCTTTGAATGCACACATTTAGCATGTGCTACTTTTCATACTTTCAAAGTCTGATATTTCCATAGAGCTAATGTGATCTATGCAGTTTTCAGATAAATAAGATAGCAAGTTCTCTAACACAAAGCACTTTCGTTGTTAACAATTAAAATATCAGCCTGTCTGGTCTAATGAAAGTAGCTTATGTTTGGGAGAAATGTTAACAAACCTGGCTTGGTGGATGCATTCTCAGTAGGAGACATCATTTAATGTATTTAAAGGTATGTTATCTGGTTATGATCAGTCCTGGGTTTCTCTAAAATTACTATGGGAAGCAAGCTTGCTTCTAAGGATGTTTATTCACCAACATGAAAATATATTGCATAAATCCAGCTTTCATTATTTACAGATATTATGGAGATGAAGAATAGAGTGAGGGAAGGAAAAGAGTCATGATGAACTCTTTGGAAGTGTTTGGGTTGGGGGGTCTGTGACAGGTGGGTGTTTCTGAAGCTTTAGAGGAAACATGGAGGAGACATTTGTGGCTTAAAAGATTTTGTGAAAATTCTTTCTTTTCTTCTTACAAATCAATTGAGATGCAGCATATTGATTTTTGAAGGTTAGTGGTAAAGGAGAAAGGAAGACAAACTCAACAGTATGAGATGAGTTGGTAGAGAAAATTGAAAGTAGAATTAAAAGAAAGGAACAATTAGCTAGCAGCTTGATGAAAGTAAGTGTGAAGTATTAAAGTAATTGGTGAATAAAAATAACAGGAGAGATGCAGGCACTGCAAGAGCTGAATAGCCGCAAAATTGTTCAAACTCTTCAGAGGAAGCAAAAGATGCTTACGTGTGGAATGGAGTGTAAAGAGAAGCCAGTGACATTTTTAAAGCTTATCTAGCCACCTCTATTAAGTTTGACATTTTCGTTTGCTTCTATTTGCTTTAATCTGTGTTACATCAGCATTGGAGAAGCCTTTTGTGAGTTACATTGGATCATAAAATGAAGAATTAATGCAATTGTTATTGCTAATCCTTTTTCTTTACCTCTAACACACTTTAATCTTTGTATGCTGCTTTTATTTCACTGGCTTACTGATTTTCAAGCTGACAGTCTGCAGGAACACATTTTATTTTAAACAATCTGTTGGAAAAACCCTACTAGCATTTATTTAAACACGTGCACAGAAAAAGAAAAACCCAAAAAACAACAAACAGAAAATGACAGTTGAAATTCCTTAATTTTATTAGTATGGTACTTACAACAGAAATGACACATCCAATATAAAGTTGAAATTCTACTTACTTGAAGCAAGAGCTAGCTTGAGCTCCTTGAAAAGAGCATTTCATATGGGTTAAAGGAATAACCAGAAACTCATTGCATTATCCTGAATGTAAAAGTAGTTCTAAACCCACTTTTTAGTCTGGGTTTGATATCTGACATCACCTGGCATTTTAAAACTCCATTAGTGATGAATTTTCTGTTTTTTATGTCGCTCAGCATCTGAATGCTCGTTTTCACCTATGTAGCAATTTGTTATTTTTTTGTGTAAAAGGTCTGCTATCCTGATGTCCAGATCTACTTTTATTTGGTCAGTTCCTGAAAACAAACAAAGCACAGAAATCTTTAAATGTAAAAAAACAAACAAACAAACAAACAAAAAAAACAAAAAACAAACCACTTTTTTAAGAAAACTTGCAGTTTTCTGAGTTTTTCCTTCACTGATGGGGACAGGAAACGTAGATGTTACTTTGTATCTGTTGCTTTGATTTTTTTCTCCCTGTGTCCCTGAATGTAACACAGATCTGGTATGTTTTCCAGGATTCTGTCACTTTCTTATAGAAACTTGGTAACATTATTAGAAGTCTCAGCTTGATTCTCTGAGGACTCCATGCTTTCTCCTTCAGCTGAAATGCTTTTAACTTGTGCTTTGCATTTGGCAAATGATTCAGCTTCATGTAGTGGTATGAATACACTTTGTATTTCTGTACTCCCTTCTCTGTGAGATTCAGAAAGCAACAGAAGTTCATTGTACTCCTATAAATTTATCATCAAAAAGTCATGAAAGAACTAAAGCTGATTTCCCAAACACGACACTGGAGAAACTGAGGCACACAGTGATTGAACTGTCATCAGAGCAAGGCCCTAATTCAGCCTAGATCTTAAATACTGAAGTCCGTCTCCTAGAGAAGGAACTCATCGATCTCCCCCCACCCTGAATAGGTATAAACATAGTCAAGTTCCAAGTAATTGCTCCACTAAATAGAGTCCCAGCTCTCTGGCGTATCCATGTATTTAATGAATGTGTCTTTTTGTTCTTTAAGCGGTAACTAGATCAGGTTGTCTGCGTTTCTGCATTTCTCTTTTTGTCTGACCACAACACTTCAAAGGAACCTGTCTACATAAAGTTGTTTCTTTCTTTGTTGGCATAGCTATAACATGAGAGTCTAATTCAGTAATCAGCTCTCTACAGTTTTTGATATCTCATTGCTTTACTACAGACACTATCCTGTCAAACTACCTTTTATGTAACAGGCACAAAATCATTGGTAGGTAGCACTGGAAAATGCAGCTAACACACTTGACTCTTGCACAGTGCACATTTTCTAAAAATCTCCCGACTGTTTAGTTTGACACTTTACCATTTGTGTTGTGTGTGCCATATTAGCAGAAAAAAAATCTCAAATAGAAATAAAAGCACAAGAAAAGGGTAGAGAAATCAGTCATTGTTACTCTCACTCCGTAATGATGACGAGACTCTCCAGGTATGTCCACAGTATCACATCTTGCCTACCCTTAAAACGTATCTTCAACTGTTTGGTTCATGTATTCGTCACTTGTGAACATATTACGAAAAACTCAAACAAAAGGAAAAAAAAATGAGTATGTGTAGGTTTACAGTTTAATACTCTTCTCAAGTTTCAGGTCTGTCTTCAACCTTGAGAGGCAGAGAAAGGAGAGAGTAAAGAAAGTGTTCTTTTAGGAGTTATGTAAACAGCATCAATTTAAATCTGAAATAAAACAATAAAATCTTTCAAGTACCAGGGACAACAGTTTTTTTGTGGAACTTGTAAATACTGACAAAAAGTACAATTAAAGAAGTGTAATCCTGCATGTGTATCTACCTCTGTAATTTCATACAAATTGTATTGTCTTTATTTCAGAAGGTTTGTTGTTTGGAGGAATAGCATTAAAACTGTTTCCAGCACATTCTCTACCAACAGCTGAAAAAAAAAAAAAAAGTTGCAAACAGTAAATAATTGTAAAATAACTCCCTCACTCACTGGCAATTAAATTAAAAAGATAGATATTGGGAAAAGGTGTCAGTTCTGCTCTCAGACGCTTTAATTTGTTAGTATTAAGTAATTTAAATCTGTATGGAAACTTTAGAATTGAAAGATACATAGAGGTGTTGGTTCTGTTTGTTTTTAAATTTAAATGCCAAGTAGATTCTGCTTACAACTGAATATTTAAGTCTTTTTGGTGAGACCCGTGCATTTGAAATTGCACCTCTGTGAATTTAAGTATCACATATTTGACACCTTGTATCTTGTGCCTCTTTCTTTGCTATCTTTTAACTTCCACAGATGAGGGGTTCTTAAACCATCTGTTAACCTTTTTTCCCCATTTTTTTTTTAACATGTAGAGTCGCTCAAGGCAAGAGGACCCAGAGCAAGCTAGACTGAAACAAAAAGCAAAGGAGGTAAGCAGAGCTAGAGATCATTACACTTGACATTTCAAGGCTTGAACATATTAATTTTTTATGCCTTGCTACTTGTATATCGTTAATAAAAATCTGACTAAAAAACTTTTTAGGATGTATTTGTTGCTTTGCCTTTGATCTTAATGTTTGCAAACTAATACATTAATACATGTGAAGCCTAAGGAGATTTTATAAGAGAACATTTCCATACATTACACTTTCATTTCCATTTTAGGTAGCTCTAGCTTTTGTTGGGTTGTTGATGACAGCAGCATTAGATTTGGTGCAGAATATATGCCTTTGTCTTTTTAAAATGTCACTTTCTTAGAAATTTGTTACTTAACAGTTCTGTTCTGGCAACAGTCTTTCAAGTAATGTGCAGAGAAGGACTGGCAATTACAGTGTTGTTCAGTGTACCATTTACTCATTGTTCTAAATTACAATAATCTAACAAATATAAAACAATTTCAAGTTTTGATATGTTATTCTTAGTATACCTTAATATGCTGTAAATGAGCATGGCAGTCCTTTGCTTGAGACATCTTACACCTTAGGATCAGTTTGTGACTTAAATCAATTAAGAAGACTAAAATATATCTACGAATGGAAAGTTGTTCCTATCAAAAAGAAATTAGCATCATATTGAGCAAACTGATGCTTTTTTTCTCTAGCTAAGTTATTTGGATATATGCATTAGAAGGTAATAATAATACATTAGAGGGTAATACATACAGAAGAATGCATATAACACTTTTTTTTCTATTGACCTGTTCTTCCAGTTTAGTTTCCCTTTTGGCAGTATTCTATAGTTCCCGTTACATATACAGATTTTTTTATACATGTAGCAGAAAAAAAAAAATCAAGTTAACTTTCATTTATCTCCTTCCATTTATGTAATTATAAATCTTGTAAACTTAAAGCCATCCAGTGTTGGAATTGTCAAGCTTTCAAATGAAACAGAGATTAAATTATTTGGTAGGAGAAGATACAGGATTTGATACTATTTGAGCTTAGTAAGCAGCCTGTATATGCAAAGGAAATTGCTTCTGAAAATATGTGGAAAATAATTGTTGGCTGGCAAGGCTTGCATTTGAGCTGAGGACTAAACTACCACACTGCTGGAAATGAAAGTAAGCTAGAAATAAGTGCATTTCTTGCTGTGACAGTATTTCCATTCATTGCAGTTCTTCATAACTGGAAACCTGAGACAGCAAAGTAAACAACAGGGCTAGAAAATACATTTTCTAATAGAATGAATTATTGGCTCTCTTTATAGCTGTGATGGAAGATTTGTGTTCTAGCCAGTGCTCTTGCTTTTGGTGTAGCTGCTGGAATACCTCTCCCCTGTTTGAAAATCTGGTATTTCCATTTAAGCTGCATTTCTTACCCACTAGAGGGAGTGACAGAGTGCTGACATGTGAATAAAAGCATGTGTATGAAATGCATTATAAGTAATTGTAATACTGGTATTATTGAAGACATAGCAAGTCTTGTGGTTTGGTGATAATCTTATTAGAAATGTTTAGGCTTTATGATTTTAGAGAAGTAGTGTTCCTGGAAATGCTAAGACGTTTTGAGTAAATGCAGAGAGAAAAGCAGGATTTTTGTTTGAGTGCTGCACTCTCTTCTATTGTACATTAGTCCTGCCTTTTTTCCCACCCTTCTAATGAAAGTGTGTAATTTGCTGGCACCTTGCCTCTCTCTGAAGTTTAATTTTATTCTACATACTTGAAACCATAAGAAATTTAGGCACGTATCTGTTTTTAGTAATTAGAGTTCTATGGCTCTTCAGCTGTTTTAGCGATTTTTACATAAAATATTTAAATACTAAAAAATTGAAACTAAAACTTGTACAAAAGAAGTTAATTAGGAGGCATTACTTGCAGAGCCAGGTCTTATTACAGAAACCAGACGTAACAGCCAGTTACTTACGTAAATAGTCAGGTTTCGCTCACACACAGATTAGCACTGTTATAGTTAAGTCAGTGCAACCCACTCTTATTTCAGTTTGATTGACTTATTTTCCTTTAGCATTAGCCTGTTTTAAATGGATTTGAGTGAAAGCAGGAGGAAAATGCACCTGCATTCTTTCACACTTTTAAATTAGTCCAGCTTTCTATGGTTTTTCCAGTGCACATTACATGATTTTAATGGTAGACTTACTTAACAAACTTGTAAAACACATTTTCCATCCAGACTCTTTCAAGAAGCTATTTACATTGTTTGTAACAAATTCTGAAATATTTAACTTGTAGTATAACTTAATGTAAGAAATAGAATCATTTATCTACTTCATATTCCATGACTGAATCTTTTAACATTAAGTTTTAAAAAATATGCTAATCTGACTGGAAGAATAGAAAGTCACAAATATAAGTTAAAGAAAATGTCTCTAATTTCCATTCAGAAGGTTCATTAAATAGGGCATAAAACAGGCCATATAACTGATTGATCCAGATTAGAAATAATTGAGTCAACACCTAGCAGTTAATCATGTGAATGACTTGAAAGAAAGACAGAGGAGGTAAGATCCTAAATATCCTATCTGTCATGAATATTTTTTCTGCATATTCAGTATCTGTTGGCCAAAAATCTTTTAATTTAAAAGTGAAGTAGCTGAGTGCGTTGATCCCGAAAGATTAACTTGGTTAAAATCTTTGTGTCATCACCAACCAAGAATATTGCATAATAATAAAAACTTAAACCAGACACCATAAATGTCTGGGCGTGTATCCAGGACCTAGATCAGCTTAGATAACACTCAGATGAATCTGTTCTCAGATGTACTTGTTAACCATGCAAGTGAAATCAGAAGCCCGTTGATACTCATAATGGAAGCCTTACTAATTTCACAGGGAGACAGAAGGCTGTCCACTTACCTTTTTACCCTTGCAGGTATCCCATTTTTCTAAAGTTTAATAGTCTTTTAACAGTGATTTTTAAGTGGTTGCTGCTGTGACTGTTACGCTGGTGAGGAGCTTTGGGAGTACCCAGCTCTTGTGTAAGCAGACCAAAGGCAGGCTTTTCCCATACTCTCCACATCATTGTGGTGCTCATTCCACCTGGGTGCTGTCATCTTCCTTGTCTTTTGTAGTAACTGACTTATCTGTTAAGTTTTTAGATTTTGAAATGCATCCTTTGCTGAGGTTTGTACACAATAACATCTGGGCTGTTAGAGCCATAAGGTCCTTCTCTCATCTGAAAACACTAGTGAAGTGTGTATGTATTGTGGAGATCACATGATGTATTTTGTAGAAATTTAAAATCATAGAACGACTTTTATTAGAGAAAGTACTGAAACTCTAGTGTTATGTATGGAATACTTATATTACAAAATCAATTTTACTTTGAATAATTTCTTGTCACCACATCAATACCTCTGTAGCAACTCTATAGGTGTGGTTTCTTGTAAAAAAAATAAAATAGTTTATTGCAGTCATTCATGCTTTGAAAAGGCATTACTGAAACGAGAAGCAAATGAAAAGGATTTTGTTTTGTGAAGTTTTTTTCTCACCTTAGCAAAAACAAAATTCTTAAAGATTTTACAAGTAATGCAGTGTCTTTTGTGATGAGATGTCTCAAGTTTTCTGTTGCACCATGCCTGACATAAAAGTATTCAAAAGCAACAATCTTCTCTTAAATGATTTCTTATAAAACCTTTGTTGAGAAATTGAGCATTTTAACTGAAGTAAGTTTGAATTAAGTTTCCATTTAGCTGTGTAATCCACCCGAGGATCATAAGATGCAAAGGAGTAATGAAGAATGTGATAGTAATGAATTACTGCAACTGAAATACTGCAATATTCCTGAAGTTATAAAGTTGTTTTAGTGACTTCAAATATTGATGCTGAACTTGCATCTCAAAAAGAAGCAATCCTGTCTGTCATCAATTAAAATACTTTCAGGAAAATCCTGCTGTTATTCAACTTACGGCTTTTGTGTGAAATATATTTTTTACTCATGAGCAGAGATTACTTCTGATGAACAGATATTATGATAATGGTCACAAATTCTGATAACTGGAGTTGATATGAGCTTCTAGGAAGAACAGGAGAGGAACAGCTGATGAAGACATGATTTGTCTATAACCAATTTATAGTTTATTAGTTTAAAGATAGTGGATATTGACAAAGTTCAGCTGTGTTTCTGAGGATAAGGTATTACCCCACCATGAATTCTGAAGTACTTCAGAGCTTCATGCAGTTGTAGTCTTACTGTTCAGCAGAACTCTTTTGGTAAAATTGAAGACCATGATACTTCCAGCCTGTTTCCCTGAGCTTGGAGCAGAAGTGATGGCAGGTGTTTGGCTGAAGGTGAAGTGTGGTGCTACCTGTGCTATACAGAGTCAGAAAACTGAGTAATTGGCAAAGGAAAAATAAAGCCAGGAAATCAAGGGAATGGCCATAATACTTTCCAACTAAGTAAAATTGTTTTATTCTTGCTTAGGTAAAATTTATATTAGAGTTGAGTCAAGGACTAGATATTTTTGTTGTCCTTCTTTCTGACCTAGCTCTGACCCAAGATTACCTCATTATTCCAGCACAAATCTAAATTAAATCCAATCCTGTCCAATATAGTGATTTCCTTGCTCAAAATCACTTTGTTGGAGTTCTTTAGTGATGCACGACTTTAGTGCATGCAGTACCTGGTTCTTGTTTGCTTTTTACAGAGGAAAAAAAATGAAGGAAAAGCTCTGTTGTGCGACTGCTTGTAACTAGCATTATGCAATGAAATTCTCTTTTACTTATGTACATGCTAAATTTATGGTCTGTCTTAACAGCCTAACTCTATATTTGATACCTTCTATAATAAGCTAAGAACGCTAATTCACTAATTATTATCTAGAAAATCTTAGAACTTCGTTAGGCACCGTTGCTGGAGTTGCATACAAATTAGAATGTGTTGCACAAGAAGGATCATCAGTATCTACTGATGTGTTTTGCTACTTCATGAGGACCCCTGTCAGACCTGAGTCTTTGTATTGAGTGCTTATGAGCAGT